GTTCAAGTTGAAGCTGAAGAAAATTAGGTCCACAAAAGCAAAAGTACAACCTTGAGTATATCTCACCAGAATTTAGAGACCATCTAAAAAACAGATTTGACACATCGAACACTAATGACTGAAGACCAGATAAGTTGTGGAACGACGTCTTAGTCATCTAGTGATGCTATAACAGAAATACCACAAGTGGATGGCTTTAACAAAGGGAAATTTATTTTCTCACAGTCTAGTAGGCTACAAGTCCAAATTCAAGGCATCAGCTCCAGGGGAAGGCTTTCTCTCTCTGTTGGCTCTGGAGGAAGGTCCTTGTGATGCATCAGTCTTCCCTTGGTATGGGAGCATCTCAGTGCAGGAACCTCAGGTCCAAAGGACGCGCTCTGCTCCCAGAACTGCTTTCTTGGTGATTATGAGGTTCCCATGTGTCTCTACTTGGTTCTGTCTTTTATATCTCAAAAGAGTTTGGCTTAAGACACTATCCAATCTTATATACCTCATCGGTATAATTGCTGCTAAGCCATCTTATTACATCATAGTGATTGAATTTACGACACATAAGGAAATTACATCAGATTACAAAATGGTATACAATTATACAATACTGGGAATCAAGACTCAGCCAAGTTGACAGATATTTTTTGGGGACACAATTCAATCCATGACAACATCATACATGAAGAAAGCAAGTGGTCATTAAAAAGACAGGAAAGAAAGCAAAGACCAAAATGGATGTCAGAAGAGACTCTGAAACTTGCTCTTGAACATCAAGTAACTACAGCAAATGGAAGAAATGATGAAGTAAAAGAGGTGAACAGAAGATTTCAAAGGGCAGCTCAGGAAGACAAAGTAAGGTATTATAATGACACGTGCAAAGACCTAGAGTTAGAAAACTAAAAGGGAATAACATGCTCAGCATTTCTCAAGCTGAAAGAACGGAAGAAAAAATTCAAGCCTCGAGCTGCAATACTGAAGGATTCTATGGGAAAAATACTGAATGACACAGGAAGCAACAAAAGAAGATGGAAGTAATACAATTATTGTACCAAAAAGAATTGGTCGACATTCAACCATTTTAGGAGGTAGCATATGATCAAGAACTGACGGAACTGAAGAAAGAAGTCCAAGCTGTACTGAAGACACTGGCGAATAACAAGGCTCTGGGAATTGACAGAACACCAATTCAGATGTTTCAACAAATGGATGCAGTGCTGCAAATGCTCAATTGTCTATGCCAAATAATTTGGAAGACAGCTACCTGGCCAACTGACTGGAAGAGATCTATATTTATGCCTATTCCCAAGAAAGGTGATGGAAACAAATGCAAAAATTATCGAACAATATCATTAAAATCACACAAATAAAATTTTGCTGAAGATCATTGAAAAGTGGTTTCAGCAGTACCTGGACAGGGACGTGGCACAAGGGATATCACTGCAGATGTCATTATGTATCCTGGCTGACAGCAGAGAATACCAGTGTCATGGTACTGAGACAGTGGGGTGCTGCTCTAACAGATACCTAAAATGTGGAAGTGATTTTGAAACTGTGAATGTATAGATGAGCAGCAGCAGCAGAGGAGCAGCAGCAGCAGCAGAGAACCTACATCGGTAGAGAAATGGCAACAGCAGAGAACCGACGGCAACAGAACCAGGAGACCGGTGTGAGACGGCACTGGAGCCAACCCACGGAGCAAGAGAGCTGAGTACCTGTGTGCAGGAGGCTCCCTGGCGGAGTGGGGTGCCTCCAGGTACTTACTGGTGGAGCTAGGCTTGACAACCCACGGAGCAAGGGAGCTGAGTGCCTGTGCGCAGGAGGCTTCTTGGTGGAGTGGGGTGCCTCCGGGCACTTACCGGTGGAGCTATAGAGCTTTGGAACACTTGCCCCAGCAGGGCAGATGCGGGTGTGAGGCCCGAGGAGCCAAGAGGCTAAGAAACCAGGAAACAAGCTGAAATGACTAAGGACACAAGAAGCCGATCTGCCTCAGTCTCAAAAGGTATGGCCATGACCTCAGGGGTTTCAAAGGGTTGAGCCATGGCCGCTGGTACTTCTAAGGGTGGAGTCGCCACTCAGATGGACTGGGAGAATGGTGCACCTAAAGCTGAGGGAGCAGAGTTGCTGTCCTAGTGGGCCTGGAAGGCAGAGCTGAAGCCCAGGGCCAAGAGGCCTCCACTCAGAATCTGGAGACCATGGCCAATACCTAGAGTCTGGAGGGCAGGCCCATTGTGTAAATTGTCTCCGAGGACAGAAGATTATTTTCAAAGCCTTGAGGGCTAATGTAATGCGTTCTGTTAACTTGCTTGGTGCCAGTTATCCCTTCTTTCCCTCCAGTTTCTCCCATTTGTAATGGAAATATCTAGCTTGTGCCTGTTCTGCCATTGTACCTTTGGAAACAGATTAAGTCGTATTCTAAATCTCACAGATGAAGAGGAATTTTTGAATTTTGGACTGAGAGGACTTTTGCTATGATATGGGATGGATACATTTTGTCTTTGCAAGGATGTGATTTTTTGGGGGTCAAAGGCTGGAATGTCATGGATTGAATTATGTCCCCCCAAAATTGTGTGTATCAATTTGGCTGGGCCATGATTCCCAGTATTGTGTGGTTTTCCTATATGTTGTAAATCCCACCTCTATGATGTTAATGAGGGAGGATGGGTGGCAGTTGTATTAGTAAGGCAGGACTCAATCTACAAGATTGGATTGTGTCTTGAGGCAATCTCGAGATATAAAAGAGAGAAGTGAGCAAAAAGACGGGGGCGGGGGGGGACTTCATACCACCAAGAAAGCAGTGCCAGAAGCAGAGCGTGTCCTTTGGATCTGGGGTCCCTGCATGGAGAAGCTCCTAGTCCGGGGGAACATTGTTGAGAAGGCTGACAGAGAGAGAGCCTTCCCCTGGAGCTGATGCCCTGAATTTGGACTTTTAACCTACTTTACTGTGAAGAAATAAATTTCTCTTTGTTAAAGCCAAGCACTTGTGGTATTTCTGTTATAGCAGCATTAAATGACCAAGACAACCAGAAAGATGTTTACCTGTGTTTTAATGACTATGCAAAGGCATTCGACTGTGTGGATCAGAACAAATTATGGATAACATTGCGAAGAGTGGGAATTCTGGAACACTTAATTGTGCTCACGAGGAACTTGTACACAGACCAAGAGGCAGTCGTTTGAATAGGACATAGGGAAACTGTGCTTTAAAGTCACGAAAGGTGTGTGTCAGGTTTATATCCCTTCACCATACTTATTCAATCTGCATGCTGAGCAAATAATCTGAGACGCTGGACTATATGAAGAAAAATGTGACATCAGGATTAGAGAAAGACTCATTAAAAACCTGCATTATGCAGATGACACAACCTTCCTTGCTGAAAGTAAGGAAGACTTGAAGCACTTGCTGATGAAGATCAAAGACTACAGCCTTCAGTATGGATTGCACCTCAACATAAAATAATTCTCACAACTGGACCAATAAGGGATATCATGATAAACAGAGAAAAGTTTGCAAGTGTCTAAGATTTCATTTTACTTGCATCCACAATCAATGGCCATGGAAGCAGCAGTAATGAAATCAAATGACACATTGCACTGGGCAAATCTCCTGCAGAAGACCTCTTTGAAGTGTTAAAAAGCAAAGATGTCACTTTAAGGATTAAGGGGCACCTGACCCCAAGCCATGGTGTTTTTAATCTCCTTATATGTATCCGAAAGCTGGACAAAGAATAAGGAAGACCAAAGTAGACCTGATGCCTTTGAATTATGGTGTTTGTAAAGAATATTGAATATACCATGGACAGCCAAAGAATAAACAAATCTGTCTTGGAATAAGTACAGCCAGAATGCTTCCTAGAAGCAAGGATGACGAGACTGTCTCACATACTTTGGACATGTTATCAGGAAGCACCAGTCCTTAGAGACAGACATCATGCTTGGTAAAGTAAAGGATCAATGAAAAAGAGGAAGACCCTCAACGAGATGGACTGACACCATGGCTGCAACAATGGATTCAAGCATAGGAACGATTATGACGATGGTGCTAGACCAGGCAGTGTTTCATTCTGTTGTAGATAGGGTTGCTGTGAGTCATAAGTGTCGACAATAAACTTACAAACAACAACAAAGGAACCAGGGCTTCCAGGAGAAAAGTTTGATTCCAGGGCTCAGGCAGGAAAGGACAAGATAAGCCTCGAATACTGGCAGAAAGTAATGTCAAAATTGTAACTGGGCATGTGAAAAAATACAGGAACCTACCGAACGGAGCTCCTAATAACCAAATCTGGGACAATTTGAGCAAGGGAATAAAAAGTAATATGGGATTAGCCTATACTGTTTTATACAATTTAATAATAAAAAAGGGGAGAGAAGGGAAAGCTATTCCTTGCAGAATTCCAATTAAGAAACACAGAAGAAATGATGGAAACAGAAAATACCATTTGGTAACCAGCACAGTAATAGTAATAATAGATAATAATTATCAATGGGTACTAAAATTAGTGGCCAGAGTATGATGAAAAACAGAATATTTGCACAGTCTCAAAGTATCACCCTATGAGAAACTTACTATAAGGCAAAATAGTTGACTTTGCAAAAGGAAAGAATGGAAGAAAATGCGATAAATATGGAAACAAAACAATACACTCTTAAACCAAATACAAGATCAGTGTATTTTACTGTGAGCAAAATAACATCAATAAAACATTAGAAAATATAAAACCATATTTGCTCAAGGGCTATTCTCTGCAGCTTTATTTGTAATAGGCAAAGACTTTAACAAACGTAAAATTTAGTGTGGGCTGAGATAGTAACAAACACTGATAAGGAAAGTCCTGCAGTGACAATGACACTGTCATTTCTCCCAAAGACACAAAGTAGCTCTAATGACCCCTTTCTTCGAGTTACTTTTGACAGAGTAGTCTCTCCACTGTGCATTCTTATATATGAAGTGAGGCGTGAGGAACAACTAAAGGCTTTCCCCCATTCTTTACATTCATAACGCCTCTCCACTGTGAGTTCTTCTATGTCTAGTGAGGTGTGAGGAAGAACTAAAGGGTTTCTCACATTCCTTACATTCATAAGGCCTCCCTCCACTGTGAGTTCTTACATGTCAAGTTTGAGGGCTGAGGAATAACTAAAGGCTTTCCCACATTCCTTACATTCATAAGGCCTCTCTCCACTGTGAGTTCTCATATGTATAGTGAGGTTTGAGGAATGACCAAAGGCTTTCCCACATTCCTTACATTCATAAGGCCTCTCTCCACTGTGAGTTCTCATATGTGTATTGAGGACTGAGGAACAAATAAAAGCTTTCCCACATTCCTTACATTCATAAGGCCTCTCTCCACTGTGAGATCTTATATGCTGAGTAAGAAGTGAGGAATGACTAACGGCTTTCACACATTCCTTACACTCATAAGGCCTCTCTCCACTGTGAGTTCTCATATGCATAGTGAGAACTGAGGAACGACTAAAGGATTTCCTACATTCCTGACATTCATAAGGTCTCTCTCCACTGTGAGATCTTATATGCTGATTGAGGTGTGAGGGATGACTAAAGGCTTTCTCACATTCCTTACATTCATAATGCCTCTCTCCACTGTGAGCTCTTATATGTTGAGTGAGGTATGAGGAACAACTAAAGGCTTTCCCACATTCCTTACATTCAGAAGGCATATCTCTGTTATAAAATTTTTTATGTAAAATTAGGGATGAAGGAAGACTACAGGTTTTACAACATCTTCTGCATTTGTGTTTATGACCTCTCACATGTATCCAAAAGGATAAGGAACTACAGAAACGTTTCCCACATTCATTACATTCATAGAATCTGTCATCAGTGAGTGTTGTCACAGAATTCTTAAGTGCTGAGATACAAATAAAATCCTTCCCACATACCTTACATTTTTGAAGTTTCTTTCCAGTAAGACTTTTCATAGGAGAGTTTAGGTAAGAGGGACAACTGCAGGGGTCTCCACATTCCCTGCACTGGCAGGTACTGCATCCAGTGTGAGATCTGGTAGGATGGTTCTGTGATGAGTGGTCCATGAAGGCTTTTCCACACTCACAACATTCAAAAGGACTTAATTCTAGGGGATTTCTTTTTATCACAGTAAGATCTGGAATCTGGCTGAAGGTCTTCCCATATTGATTGCCTTCATTAGTTTCACAGAGGTGCTCTATTGTATACCTTCTGTTAAAAAAAGGCAACATGCAGTTGGAAATAAATTTGTTCCCATTTCATCATTACTAAACACAGTGAAAGTGCATTGTTTTTGCCCTGACTTATCTCATGTTTCATAGGTTACTGTCACTGTTTTTCTGAAATATGTGGCTTTCTGATAATTGTGTCCAAGTAAAATATCTTTCAAATATCTGATATCTAACTCACATTTATGAAACCGTTACATTGCAAATATTGTCCAAACACCAATTTTACAGCTAGGCTTATATATATTGTTGTTAAGGCTGTGGAGTCAGTTCCAACACATAGCAGCCCCATGTACAACAAAATGAAACATTGCCTGGTCCTACGCCATCCTCAAAATCGTTGCTGTGTTTGACACCATTGTTGCAGCCACTTTGTCAATCCATCTCATTAAGGATCTTCCTTTTTTTCACTGACCCTCTACTTTACCAAGCATTGTATATAAAATCATATATATGTGTATCTATAAGCATATAATATCATGACACCTTAGGAGTTTCTCCTGAGGCACCGTTTTCTCTTGTATGAATGACACTCACCTCAAGTGTCTCCTCTGGTTTTTATGCTGATCTTTATTGCCATGCGGTTTGAAGATTTCTCCTAACATGGAGGACCAGGTGTTATTCTTAATGAATCGCACTATTATATGTTCACTGGATAACTTTTCTCCATCAATAAGGTTTTGAGAAACTGATCCAATAATTCAAGATGAGGTTCACAGTATGAAACAAAAAGGAAAGGAATTATTAGGGAAAAAAGCACTACTGTGAACAAAGAAAGGAACAAAGAAAGATTTAGCCACATTTCACTGTTTCAGTACTTTGGCTATGGTTAAAAAGCAATTTACTAGGACATACTTCCATGAAGTTTGGGAGTGACAGTGACACAAATAGCTATAATTAGGAGAGCTAAGTAGAAAGACATTGGACACAATACACATGTAATACTCAAAGAAGAAAAGGGTCTCCATGACCATGGTGTAAGAGAACTGCTAAAGTCAGAAAAGTTAAGCTCAGGTATCTGTGAAGTTGTGTTCTCACCTCAAAAGAGGCTTTTTCTAGCTGAAAAAGAATAACAAGTACCCAAGGGCAATTTCTAAGTTGTGCCCCACCCAATTTCAAGATGAATAGATGCTGACAGTGGCAATGCATCAGCAGAAACACCTCCCCTCTTGTCCAGCTGCCTCAGTCAGTCACCTTTCATATTTGTGGCTACCTGGAATGTCATTCTGCATCTCATCTGGCAACCCCTTGGACTTATGCTCAGGTGCGAGTGCCCCTCCCTGCCTCCCATTGCTATGCCCCTGCTCCATGCAGAGCTGGTCCTTCAAAAAATTCTTGCTTTCCTGGTACTCCCCAACACAGTGGGCCTGAATGAGTCCTATTTCCATTGTGCTTACTTCTCTGGGAAAACAAATGGGTAGAGTTGACATGGTGCTCATGGAGAAATGCATATCATGAGGGAAGACAGGGCAGCACAGTGAACATTTCCCTGACACGGACTTTATTCTTCAGGGTCTCTGAAGATGGATAGGTGTTGATTTTATGTGCAGCAAAATAAACACGTCAAACTTGTAATGAACACAGTAAAACTCTCTACAAGGTCCCAAAACACAAATCTCTCAGTACCCCAAAGTGATCCCTGAAGCCAATGCTTACATTTACAATATTTAAAGGATCTTAGAGCTTTAAATCACAAGAGAAATTAAAACTCACTTTAATACATAGAGTTTTATGTTCATGGGGTAGCCAGCATATGTCAGCTGCAAAGACCAAGGGACCATGCCTGTTTTATTTAACAATTTAGTTCCATTCCCTCTTTTAAGTGTTAAAAAGCAAAGATGTCACTTTAAGGACTAAGGTATGCCTGACCTAAGCCATTTGTGTGTTCAACTGATTCATATGCATGTAAAAACTGGACAATGAATAACGAAGACTGGAAAAAGAGTTGATGCCTTTGGATTACGGTGTTGGTGAAGAATATTAAAGATACCATAGACTGTCAGAAGAATAAATCTGACTTGGAAGAAGTACAGCCAGATGCTCCTCAGAAGCAAGGATGGGGAAACTTTGTCTCACATACTTTGTACATGTTATCAGGAGGGACCAGTCCCTGGAGAAAGAGATCATGCTTGGTAAAGCAAAGCGTTAGCAAAAAAGAGGAAGACCCTCAAAGAGATACATTGAGATAGTGCCTGCAACAATGGGCTGAAGCATAATGACTGTGAGGAAGGTGCAGGACCTGGCAGTGTTTCGTTCAGTTGTACATACGTTCACGATGAGTCAGAACCAACTAGACGGCACCTAACAACAACATTCCCATTCCTAAGCCCAAATACTGGAGCAAAGTCAATGAGTAAACTATTTTTTTCACTAAAGGAATGAATTAAAAAAAAAGAAAAGGTTGCCATTCCTACCTACAGAAGCCAGGTTTCTGAAGGTTTCCATCATCACCTCTCTGTAGAGTTTCCTCTGAGCAAGATCCAGCGAAGCCAACTCTTCCTGGCTAAAGACCACGGCCACATCCTCAATGATCACTGGGCCCTAAAACATCCCACACATTCTGGATCAGCAAGATACCATGTACTCCAATGTGCACTAGAACAAAGGGTGAGACTGACAGTCCTGAGGAACTGAGAATTCTTAGGGATTTTTTTCAATTGTACTTTAGATAAAGGTTTACAGAACTAGCTTCTCATTAAACAATTAGTACACATACTGTTTTATGACATTGGTTACCAACACTGCAACATGTCAACACTCTCCGCTTCTTGACCTTGGGTTCCTTATTATCAGCTTTCCTGGCTCCTCCTGCCTTCTAGTCCTTGCCTCTGGGCTCATGTGCCTAACACTTGGCTGAAGGGGGAACCTCAGGAGTAAATTCATTACTGAGCTAAAAGGGTGTCCGGGGGCCATACTCTTGGGGTTTCTCCAGCCTCTGTCAGGCCAGTATGTCTCGTCTTTTTTTGTGAATTAGAATTTTATTCTGTATTTTTCTCCAGCTCTGTCTGGGACCATGCATCGTGATCCCTGTCAGAGCAGTCGGTGCTGGTAGCAGGGAGCCATCTAGTTGTGCTGGAAGAGAATTCATAGGGATTTGACACAAGGTTCTGTGTTCTACCAAGGTCTATTCTAGGGTATAGCCATCAGCCTTGGTCCCCTCACTAACTGCATTCACTTTGTCACTGACTGCATCTTGTCTCGCAGTCTTCCAACACACAAATAATCTCTACAAAGTTTGCGGCCAATTGCAGTCTTATTTCTCTCTCTTTAAGGTCTACAACAATTAGAAAATAGCAGAAATTAGAGAAAAGCTCTAATTCAGATCATCACTCCCTTGTGAACAATATCACTTCCTTCCATAATACCCACTAGAACAGTCAACAAAACACAAAGCAAAGGTGAAGACAGGATGAGGTATTAACAACTGGGAAACACCACAGAATAGCAGTGTTTTCTTTTGCCCCTCTGCCATGGGAGGACCAGGGGCCTGCACAAACTGGAAAATGTGAGCTAATCATATTTTCTTGAACAACTCTAGGAGATCAGGAGGTGGCAGGGACATCTGCTGAAAAAAGAACACTCTTAGAGAATTCTGATTTTTTACATGCCAGTCACCTATTTTTCAAAAACTCAGTTGTTCTGCCATCCTTTCTGTCCCTTTCACACAGACATGGAAAGGTAAGTAAAAGTTAAAAAGAGCTCAAATGAGACAGTAAACATCAGAATCAGATCTCCCCAAATTCTCAAATTTCTAGACCTGGCCAACATTATACCAATTATTAGCGTCTGCTCCCCTGAACAAACATAAACCCATGCATCCTCAGACAAACACAGTCTAATGTTATGACAAAGGGCACTACCTCTGCAGAAACAAGAATAGCATGCCCTTGTGTTTGCTGGCCAAGAAGAGGTTATGATGTCCATTTTGTAATGACTGCACATGATGAACATGTCAATACATGTAAATATTATTGAATTAGCAAATGTTTTCTTATATATTTTTTTACCACAAAATTAAAAAAAAATCAAATTTCTAAGTTGAAGTGTAGATGGTTTACTTGTTAAATTGCCTGTGAAGCCTAGGAAACAGAAAATACCACCCCTCTAGAGGCTCCACTCCAAAACTATCTCACGTTTGCAGCCCCTGGAAGGCATACAATCATGATTACCTGAACCCTGACCAATGGAATTGGTCTCCTAGTTCTGCTGCCACCGTTTCTCTGCTGCTGCTTCTCACCATCCCTCGCCGTCTCCAGTGTTACAGCTCTCGTCTCCTGGGTCTAGAAGGTTCCCAGTGCAGGGACCCCAGGCCCAAAGGATGCACTCTGTTCCCATCTCTTCTTGTGGTGTGACGTTCCCCCTTTTTGCCTCTGGTATGGCTCCTTTTAAGCCTAGCAGGATGGCAAAACTGACCAATCCTCTTGTTAGGGTTCCATACACATTTGCATGGTACCATCCCCGCAAGTGTGCCATGCGCCTATTTGCAATATTAGCACACAATCAGATCTCCTTGGTGGGCCACAAGCACCTCATTTGCAGTGTCCCACCCAGTCATTTGGTGGGAGTTACAAAGAGTATGGCTAGAAGGGCCATATTAAGTAATTCATTGCAGTGCCCGGCTACCACCAATGATTGCCCTGACAGGGACCACAACAGAGTCCCTGACAGAGCAGGAGAAAAGTGGAGTGCAGAACTCAAATTCTAGTAAAAAGACCAGACTTAATGGTCTGAGACTGGAGGGACCCCAGAAACATGCCCCCTGGACTCTCTGTTAGCCCAAAAGTAAAACCATTCCCAAAGCCAACTCTTGAAAGCTTAGACTGGATTACAAGACATAAAATGATACTCGAGTAGTGTGTGTTTCTTAGCTCAAGTAGATACATAAATCTAAATGGGAAGCTCCAGTCCAGAGGTGAGATGAGAAGGCAGAAAGGGACAGAAGCTGGCTGAATGGACATGGGAAATCCTGGGTGGAAAGGAGGAGTATGCTGTCGCAGTAGGGGGAGAGCAACTTGGGTCACATAGCAGCACGTGTATAAATTTTTGTATGAAAAACTAACTTGATTTGTAAACTTTCATTTAAAGCACACTTAAAAAAATGACAGCTCCTGGAGAGGGGGGAGTAATTCACTGCAACACAGGCCACACCCTGGCGCTTCTAGCCAATGTCCCTTTCATACTTACTTCCCCATCCCAATCATTTTACCAGTCCATAGCAGTCAGTAAAAATTAGTCCTTAAGTAGGGCAAAAAGTCCTCAGGGTGAGGTTACTCAGGTAAAATTTAACAAGGAGAAGAGTATTCCCTTACTCTGAGAGCCTCTGAGCCTCATGAGGTATCAGCATAGCAAAACCTTTAAGGGACTTTAGGTTCAGCCACTGTCCTCCAGTTCAGCAGTGCCTCTCATTTAGTCTGTGCTTTCAGTTACTACTTCTACCATTATAGTTTTACAGTTACCATTAACCCTGTTAACAATCAACACTCACAACTGAATCATATAATCCTATCAGCATCTTCCCCTGCCCCCTCTTCCTATCAGGAAAAGAGGATTCTATTCAGTGTGGATCCTTCCTTGTCCCCTCATTTTGAGTCTAAGTACACCCACGAGTGTGTGTAAGCCAGCCACTTCATGCTTTATCTCCCCTCCTCCAGCATTTTAAATAGCCAACTTCTAAATTGCCCTTCCTTACCAAACCAGTACTCTGAGGAGACAAGTGTGTTCCTTGGTCTGTCGAATCTTCTCTTCTGGTTGGAACTTTGAGCATCTGGGTCCATAAGCAAAGTCCAGTCCAGAGCAAGCCATTAAATTGCAGTAATTTACACCAGCTCATAGTATCAAACATCTTTCCCTTCACTTGGCTGGGTTCGGATCAGCTCATCCCTAGCCCGTGGACTATGTCAATGGGTATCAGCCCTTGGCTCAGGAGTCCACACATCTCCCCACACTTCAAACCAGACAGCCCTTACTCTCATCCCTAGCTTCTGTGGGCTAGGTCAACAGGTGCCAATGGAACATGTCCAAACTCAGCCCATCACTTCATTGCTGTAACTCCCCCACTTTCACTCATTAAGAGACCCAGGTGGTCATCACAAGTGAGCACAACAGGCTGTCTACACACCTGCTCCTTTTAACTTCCAGTTCCGGAAAAGGGTTCTCCTGATGGGCACTGACTTCCTCACTCAAAGTACCCAATGGCAAACCGCTTGCTCAAAATTCAAAAAGCAAAACAGCCATTTTTTTCCTTGCAGATCCTTCCTTCTAATGCAAATCTCCTGCTCTCCCAACAGTTCTTTGTAACTCTGCACTCTTTTGAAATGCAAATTCCCTGAATCTAAAGGCTTTGGGATGGGCTCAGGTTTTTGACCTAAGCCCAAAATACTATATAACACAGGGCTAGTGCATCAAACTAACAGCCTATGTTTCCCTCAGGCAAATCCTAGGTACTGTTTTAGAATATTCAATCAAGTATGGGCTGAAGGCGGAGTTACATGCTCGGTTATCTATAATACCTAATATTCATTTCTATCATACTCTATTATCTATGATACTTATATGTTCATTTCTATCATATCCTTAATGAGATGGATTGACACAGTGGCTGCAACAATGGGCTCAAGCATAACAACAATTGTTAGGATGGCATAGGATCCGGCAGTGTTTTGCTCTGTTGTACATAGGGTCACTACGAGTTGGAACTGACTCAACGGTACCTGACAACAACAACAGTCATACTTTTAGGTCTGTTTTAAAACACTAGGTTGGAGAAATATTCATTAGCCATAGTACAGTCATATAAACACATAACTCTTTTTAGAACACCCTAGTTTTATCTTCTCTACACGTAACTATCTCCTCGTTCATATGCATATGACTTTGGCCTCTGACTGGGTGGAATCAGGCATCCTTGGCCCCCTAACAATCATACTGTTTCACTGGCCTGGCCCTTGCTCCAAACCATTCCAGATGCAGCTTTTCTTCTCTCAGCTGTAGCATGACATCTTTCTTTCCTTTCAGCCAATATACATAACAATGAAAGTAACCATCTAAGAATCAAAAGTTTCACTCTCACGCCCTTTCATTCTTTCCCTTACAAACTCCCAGGCTTCCATAACTCTGGAGCCAGGCAATGAATTCCATTTTTGATGCCAACTGTAAAAATGATGTGGCAGAGGCATCTGACTTCCTCTGACTTCAGAAGGGGGAAGAAGAATCATTATCAGCATCAACAGCCCAAGGCTGATTCCTAGGAGGCAGAGGTCAGACATGCCTCTTCTCTCCAACTTTTTACCAATTCTGACACCAAGACATTCCTCCCACAGCACTCTCCACTGGGTTTGATAATTTGTTGCAATGGCTACACAAAATTCACAGACAATACAATTATGGGGTTTCTTAGGGACGTGACAGGTTCGAATTCAGGATCAGGAAGGACTCAGGAAAGTTTTTCGGTTAGGACAGCTTCTCCACTATGTCCACTGGCAGGCCTCTCCACGGCCCTTGTGCCCTCAGGCATCTTGGGCTGGCC